ATATATCGAGAGAAACGACAAATCCCGACCAGTCAGGATAAAAATAAGCGAAAGTGGTGTTTAAAAATTCAGCTCACGAAGAGCCTCGAGAAACTAGTGGGTAAATGTAGTTAGTGAAATTAGAGTAGCAGCTGCATCAGGGAATGGTCAAAGACTGTACCAACAAATATGCAACACGGGAGATCGGCGAACTGAAGTTGCTAAAGCAATTTGCAATAAAAGCGGACAAAGTATTCAGAGTAGGGAACGATTTGACCGATGGGAACATTATTTCAGCGAAAAGTTCAGTCGAGCAGATTATCTAGTCTGCAACTCAAGCTCCATGGGCAGTGTCACGTGAATCTCCGGCAAAAACAGCAGTTCGATCTTGCATTCAGGCTCTAAAGAAAGGAAAAGAAGTAGGATCGGACTGCCTTCCATCAACACTTTCCAAGATGGGGGTCATCAATCTCGTACACTCTATTACTGGCTTACTGTATAACATATAGTGAAAAGAGCACATTCCATCATCTTTGGGCGAATCTCTGATCATTCCTACTTTCAAGAGATCTCGTAACGGCTGCACAACCCACCGGTGGATAATTTTAATCCCCATAGCGTTTGGCACCATCATACTTCGACGTTTCAATTTTTTAAGAGAGACCAACATCCATGAACAGCAAGATGGAATCCGTTCTGGTCGCGGATGTATTGATCAAACTGTGCTCGGTCCTCCAGAAGCATCAGCCCCACCGTCGACTAACGATCGTAGTGTTCCACGATCTAGAAGAAGCCGTCGGAGCAGTTGATCACGAACCTCTAATGGCCAGAATTACGGTAACTTGTTGGAGTCACTCTATAACGATCGTTTGTCAATGTGCTATATCTCGCCGTAAATGAAATACACGAAAGCGCACAAAGTGGTTTCTAAAAGGTTGGCATCGAATGGACAGTTGGAAGAAAAGTTGTGCAAGTTAGAGTACACCAATGATATTGCATGTATGGAGGACATGCGAAGCGTGCTGTTACTCGGTGTGCGCTTTACACCTACAAAGCGCAGTGATGTTGCAAGACTGGTTGTGTCATCCAGTACCATTTTGAAACAAAATGGCCAGGAATTAGGTATACTGGGTTGCGTAACCCACGACGGTAGCGAAGCACAGATAACCGTCCGCATTTCCAAGGCTCGAGAAGCATACGGTGGACTGAAACACCTTTGCGACATATCACTGAAGTTGAAAGGTTGTGTATACTGTGCTATCGTTTATTCGGTTCTGCTTTATGGTTGTGAGAATTTGACTTTGCGAGATGTCCCTCGACTAAAAGTTTCCAATTACTAGTGTTTACGTAGTTTAGCCCATATGGGAAGGGGCGAACCAGCTAATCTGGATACCCTCGGGTTAAGCAGAGCTTAATGCCAACAGGCGCGTCTCCGGGTTGTGGATAAAGGGTTACCTTCACCGAAGGTTAGCTGTAAATGAGTTGTATCATACCGCAAAAAATAAGCAGTCGGGAACCAACAGTGGCGGCACTACCAGGGTGTAGTGGGTTTCAGACTGGTCACCTGACTACTGTGTAAAAGCCGCATAAGCCCAATGACGGTGTCGTGGCAAAGGTCGATGTGACTGGCCTTTTAAAACTAAAGTCATTGACACCCTCACTTCCGAGGCGAGGGATCACTTCCTGCTGCCTTGTAGTTCCCACTTGGTTGTGCAAAGGCTAGAGGTGCGCCCTCAAAACAAAAACGCCGAGTGAAGCTGGGGACGTTTCTCGTACCAAACTGCCAAGGAACTTTATGATAATGTCCTCTACAATCTTTGTTGCCCATGTTACGCGCCCCGCGCTCCTCCAGTGGTCGGGGTGTCAAGAATGCGGACTGGACCTCCTCAACCACTTCAACTTAGAAAGCACCTCTACGTGGGATGCTGGGAAGTGAGAACCCTCTTAAACATTGGGAGTCAGACAGTGACTATGCGCGCGTTACACGACTACCGCATAGATGTTGCATGTTTATCCGAAGTACGATTAGCCGGCTTTGGCTCCCGGTTCTGATAGCCACCAATATTTTTACCATAGTGGCTCAGAAATTGCAGGTCAACAGAAAATGGCGTTAGCGCTGAGCCAGCGCGCCAACTTTACCCTGCTCTCTTGGGAACCAATATCGTCAAGGATCGATGTAGCACGCTTCAAAGGTAATCTTACCTACCTCACCGTCGTAGCAGTCTACGCCCCCATTCTACCATCCGACAGGGTAGCAAAGGACGAGTTCTACGACAGTCTTCAGGAGGTAGTAAATAGCATCCCCAAGAGAGATGTACGTATCGTGCCGGGGGGACTGGAATCCTCGAACAGGTGGACAAGAACCTTCAACTAAACATATAATTGGGAAATTTGGACTAGGCTATCGCTGCGAAAACGGTGACAGACTAATTAATTTCACCAATTTTAACCGGCTATTTATACCCAAACATGTTTCCAACACCCCAAGAAGCATCTTCCTACTTGATACTTCAACGACGGTATAACAGCCGAGCAGATCGACTATATCTTGATATCCTGTAGATCGTATCGCGGTGCCGAAGCTAGCAACAGAGCTGGAGCTGATCACATGCAAAAGGTGTACGCTGAAACACAAAAAATTCTGTTATCTTGTATTTTCGCACGTTAAACTGTTTCACCCCTTTTCACTATGTTCTATATCCCAATCCACCTATCCCGTTTTATTGTTGTTGCGTTGGCACCATGCTTGCCTTCAAGCCGGTGGTAAATATATATATATATATATATACATATATATATATATATACATGCTAGTTCGTGCGAAACTTCGCCTTCGGCTGATCACTCGTGTTAAGAACACTCCTCCAAATCGCATCAATGTGGGCCCATTGGTGTTGCGAGAAATCAAGAACACTGATGGATGAAATTGAGACCCGACTGGCAAATGAGTCTGCGACGTCCATCATCGTAGCAGACTCCACTGATATGCAGTGGTCCAGGATAAAAGCTGCACTAAACAAACACTAAACAAAACGCTGCTACAAAGATTGGATATCAGATGAAACCATCCGTTGCTCAACCCTGGCCAGGGACGCCCGTCTAGCTGGCCACCACGATTACCAGCGACTAAGACGGGAAGCAACCCGTTCCACAAAAGCAGATCGGAGCAACTACTGGAGCGAAATAGCGATCAAGATGGAAACCGCAGCCAGTGCATGTCACTTTGGAGACCTCTTCCGCCTCATAAGATCAGCGTCCGATAGAAGGCAATCTTCACCATCCGTTCTGCGCGACTCCACCGGGATCTCCGATATCGACAGTAGGATGACCAGATGGGTAAATCATTTTCGTCGAGTTCTCACTTATCCGCTGGGCAATCTGGCGGATATTTATCCCGATTTGGTGTCCCCATACGAGGTCGATGTGATCCTCCAACGGTACAGGAAATGGCTGCAGTGATTGGTCGTTCGAAGTCTGGCAAGGCCCCTGGTGAAGACGGAATCCCGGCAGAAATATATAAGAAATGCCTTCCGGTGGTAATCAATCCGTTTCACTCTCGCTCTATTTGGGAGACCGAAACATGTTTAACTGACTGGAACACCTTGGTTTTGCTTCCGTTCCCAAGAAAGGCGACAAGACACTATGCGGGAATTGCCGGGCATCAGTCTTCTAGACGTGGCTGCAAAAGCATATGCCCGACTGGTGCTGAGACGATTTGCTACAGTGAGGCATGCACGTACGCGGCCAAATCAAGGGGGCTTCCAACCCGGTAAAGGATGTATCTATCAGATTTTCATCCTAAGGCGAATTCCGGAACACCAATACAAGTTTCAGCGCCCCACCGCTACATGTTTCATTGACTTTTGCGCCGTATTTGACTCAGTGAACCGCGAGTCATTGCGAAAGATAATGCTTGCAGATGGCGTTCAAGCAAAGTGAGATCGTATTAGAACGAAATCAAAGCCCGTATTCGGCGAAGAGTCTCATCCATTCGATCTGAGGTCAGGAGTAAGACAAGGATGCTCGCTATCTTCCGTGTTGTTCAACTGTCATATTCCGGCTCTCTTGTTCATACACCCTTTTCTGTTGTGTTTCATAAAGATATCTTCTCTATTACAGCTCATATACCGGATTTATTAGTTGAGTAAAGCGTACAGTTCCGATTCGGAATCTTCTCCGTTCCACACCCATTTGCCTGATTCGTAAAATATTACACTAACAGTTTGTAGCCGTTGATAAGTTAATGACGGCCTGGGCCTTTCGAGACCGCAAATTAAATCCGGTTTGCCCAAGTTACACTTCCACCAACCTAGACTGCCTGATCGTCAGGGAGCAGAAAGTTACCTGATCCAAAATCCCAGAATCCGTCTGAAAACATGAACAAGCTGTTTCGCGTTTCGCCAAAATTGAATCACAATGTGTGAATACAAAACAAGAGAAGACATTCCGCTCACAATTCAACCATAGTGGATATTTCTTTGTCTAACAAATGTACAGCCATATCTTGATAGTATTGAATGGAACCAACACCGTCCGGTTTGCATAACAGAGACCGAATTTCGGCCAAGATGTGTGCCTTGACTGTTCCGATCGACTTCCCATGCATCTTCTTCCATGACAATTCTAGGTAAAAGTCAGGGTTATAAATCAAAATGCTGTGAATTACCCTTGGACTCCAGTACATGGCGAACGTGGACTCGGAGAGCGTTATCCACCGCATGCAACACGCTATCCGCATTGATTTGACGGTCACGAGATTGTTGCTCACGTAAGGCGTCTTCTTCGGCTGAACTATACGGTTCTTCCAGGGCCCTTAATAACAGCTGGACAACCGACAAAATTGCGAATTCTCTAGAGAAAGCGAACAATACAAAGCACTACCAGACAACAGACATACGTCAAGGAGGTGGAACAGTCTAAATGACAGCTGTGTTTCTCCCAATAATTTTCAGTGGGATTAATGGGTTCGAAATTGGCTGCCATTTGTATGATGATCCGGTCCTCGACTGGTTCGGATCGGATAGCATTGCGCTTCAAGCACACGTCCAAAGGGCAATCACACTGAATACTCGCGAAACCACAGTTATCTGTGATTGTCGAGGTCGTCTAGATCACAATTGCGCACAAAAATTGTCTCACATTGTTTGGCCAGGCAAAAGAATGGACGTCGCATACTGGTGTAGTAAAAATTGTCATCTAAAATAACAATCAAATCATGATTCGGGCGAATACGGGACAGTTGAATTTGATTCCAAACAGCATTCACCTCGCCATATGTAGGCAAATCGTCCCGCGCGAGTTCAAGACAGAATACGATAAGACGTTCCACACAGTGAACTACAGCTTGCCTCCATTTTCGCCAGTTGGTAGTCTGCACAAAAAGAATGGATGAGAGATATACATTTAGAAAAGGCCTACCTCTGTCACTTGATTTAAACAGAATGCCTGTTTGGGAATCAATGAATCGTAGCACAGAACCAGAACGGGTGTAGATGACTCCATGTGAGATGATAACTGTGAGCAGAATGTGCTCTTACCACAGCCCGGTAGTCCGATGACAGTGACTAACAACACCTTGGTCATTGAAATTTGATGCGCTACAAAAGAGGAGTGATCGTTTTACTCCGTAACGACATACTGGAGACTAATAACATTTGTATACCCTTCTGGAAAGGACTCCTATTCAAATCCAACATCTGGATAATGGCTCGCAAAAAGCATTCAACGCCATATCTTTGTTTCGGAGGACCAAAACCAGAAGTACTGCGGAGATGAGAGTGATGCGAGTCTATCTAATTATATATATATATATGACAGTTTTGTAGACAACGGTGTTCATTGTTTTTTTGTATTGTATTGTATTGTGTATTGTCTATAACTTTTGCAAGCACTGGAGCTCACATTTCAGTTAAAAAGCATACACGCTAACCGTCACAATGTACATAATCAACGGGGAGAAAAGTTTTTGCAGGCATGGAGATATTCATAATCCAAGGTTAAAATAAAGTTCACTCATAGTTCGCTCTTTGTTTGTGAGTAGACGAGCAAGATACGGTATGGGTGAATTGCGGTATGCATTAATTCAAGATGAAATTTGACGGAATTGG